AGAGCGAAAAAGCGTGCCCGTCCCGATCCAGAGATGGCGAGGTTCCTTCCCGTTCCTGCACAAGAGGCGACGCCCGACCTAGCTATTCCCCCGACCCCACTGGCAGAGGAAGACGCGCCCGAGGAGGGAGCAGGAGGGCAGGTAGCCTGGTCCGAGGAGGAGTATGTTGAGGCGCGTGCATTCCTAGATGAGCAGAGCCGCGCGCCAGTGCCGATGACTCCAGTCACACCCTCGGAGAGCCAGTTGCAGCGCATTCTAGTGAATAGGCAAGAGGCCCGTAGGCGCCGCAAGGTGAGGCTACAGGCTGAGCGTGAGGCCAGGCTTCGAGTTGTGGCACCTTGGACGGTGGATCCAAATTTCAGCCTTCACCTGTTCGATTAAGGCCCAGCCAGTGGGTAGGTAGATGATAGGAAGTGATCAGGATGTTTTCCTCCTCCTCCGTCCCCTCCCCACTTTACCCCCCCTCCCCACACAAACCACCCCCCACCCCTCCGCCCCCCCCCCCCCCCGCGCGCGGCGAGCGGCAGAGAAGGGGTGGCAGGGAAGGGTTTGCTTGCCCTATCTCTGTCAGTTCTCTCTTCCCCGCGGCGTGCGGCAGTGAAGGGGTAGAAGGGGGGGGGGGTTGCCTCTTGTTTCCGCTGCTTTTCTCGCCCCGCCGTTTTGGAACAACGTGAAGTTCATTCAGGGCCGTCCCCATGCCTGCTGCATTTTGCTGCATGTTGTTCCCTGCTGGCTCCCTCGTGCTGGCCGCCGGGCCGAGAGTGCGAATAGCGTGCCCCGCCATGTCTCTCTGGCGCGGAGGTGTCCGCAGCGGACTCGCTGGGAGGCGAATGTCCTTCTCACCTGCTCCCTCTCCTGCTCACTTAATTAGCCCCTCGCTCATCCTTTCCTCCTCGTGCGCCGTCGATGTGTGAGCCAGTTTTTGGTCAGCGATACGGGTCGGCGAGGGGTTAGTGTTGTAGGTGGGATTGGAGCAGACTTCTCATGTACTCCGCCCCTTTGAGGTCTGGAGCCTGCTCGCGTTTGGCGACGCACGGTGCGAATCCGTCATCCCTGAGTGGGTTTGCGCCGGTAGAATTCAGGGCGGTCGGGGAGGACTACAGGGGGAGGCTGGACCGTGACCACGTACTGTCCCTTGGCGCCCGTGCCTTAGTGCTTGCGATTGCTCGTTTGTCTGAAGCCAGTTGAGTGCCGATCTTTTCTGACCGCATTTATGGCGAATCAGGTCGCAATTCAATTCCCCCGTGGGTGGGGGCCAAAGCGGGGGAGGGGGACATTCTGTCCAAAACGGTCGTTTTGTACGGAATGTCCCCCCCCTTGCTTTTGGGCTCGCTCCCGGGGTCCCCGTCTTTGTCTCTCTCTCTCTCTCTCTCTTTCTCTCTCTCTCTGTCTTTTTTTTGTTCTCTCTCTCTCTCTTTCTTTCTCTTTCTCTCTGCCGAGTGTGTTGCGTTCGCGAACCAGCGCATGGACCTCCATGGTGTCCCTATTTGGGGCCATGTGCGCGCCTAGGACTAGCCACTTTCGCACGTGCTTATACACATTCGCCCGCCCGCCGATCTTTAAGCTTTGAGTGCGTTGCCTGGTGGATCATATGGCGTTCGCATCCTCCTCCTCCTCCTCCTCCTCCTCCTCCTCCTCCTCGTCTTTCTCTTTCCCCCATCCTCTTCCTCCTCCTCCTCCTCGTCCTCCTTCCCCTCCACCTCCTCCTCCTCCTCCTTTTTTCCCCTCCTCCACCTCCTCCTCCTCCTCCTTCCCCCGTCCTCCTCCTTCTTCCTCCTCACCCTCCTTCCTCCTCCTCAAGCTACTGGGACTCCTCCGACTTTTCCTCCTCCTCCGACTTCTCCTCCTTCTCCTCCTTCTCCTCCTCATCCTCCTTCTTATTCTCCTTCGCATCCTCCTTGTTTTCATCACCATCACCATCATCACCATCATCATCAACATCATCATCCTATCATTATGGCTATCATCATCATCCTCATCATCATCATCATCACCATCATCATCATCATCATCACCATCATCATCATAATGTTCGTCATCACCACCATCATCAGCACCGTCGTTTTCACCATCATCCTCATCACCATCATCATCATCATCAGCAGCAACATCACCGGCATCATCACCACCATCGTCAGCATCATCAACATCATCATCGTCATCATCATCATCACCATCATCCCTCCTCAGCCCTCTACCCTCCTCCCCCGTCTCCTTGCCCTCATCTGGCGCCCCTCCCCGCCCCCCTCCCCTTCCGATTACTCCCAGACCTGGCCTGGGGCGCATGTTGGTCAGAAGTTTTCGAAAGGAGCTCGACAGTAGCCACGAGAAACCATCAGGAGGCCCCAAGACTTCCGAACATCTCGAGCTTCATTCCTCATGGCTCCCTCGGCCGCCGCCGCCCCCAGTCGGCTGTTGCGTCCTCTTCGCCCGCGTTTTCGCCGCATCACCGCTCGACGATGTGTTGTTAAACAAACTTGTGGGGTGGGCCCTTCCCGTTACTCTGTGCACTTCAGCTCTGGCCTCGGCGTGAGCTGTGGATGCGCCACAGAGCGCCTTCCGGACAGCTCACTTGTGTCGGTGTTCCGCTCGCATGGGTGCCTCCCTCCCTTCCCCCCGTTCTTATGACGCTGCTCCTCCTAATCCTATCCTCTTCCCATCCCCCACGCCTCCTCTCCCTCCTCTTCCTCCTCCTCTTCCTCCTCCTCCTCCTCCTCATCATCCTCATCCTCATCCTCCTCTATCTCCTCCTTGTCATCCTTCTGCTCCTCCTCTTCCGTCCTCTCCTTTCCCTCCTCCTCATCCTACACCTTCCCTGGTGTCATCCTCCCTTCTCCTGCTCCTCCTCCTCCTCCTCTTCCTCCTCCTCCTGCTCCTTCTGCTCTTCCTCCTCCTCCTCCTCCTCCTCCTCCTCTTCCTCCTCCTCCTCGTTCTGCTCTCCACCCTCTACCACGTTTCTTCTACCACGTGCGTCGTACGTCGTACGTCGTGCATACGTCGTCGTCGTCGCCGTCGCCCCTCTGGCAGCCACGGCGCTCGACCTCGCCCTCCGCACCGACGCCGCGCTGCGGTGCCCGGCCTCGGCCCTCATCGCCGCGGCCCTCGGCGCTGCGCTCGGCGGGCGGGTCGTCGTCGTCGTCCGACGTCGTCGTCGTACGTCGTCGTCGTCCGTCGTCGTCGTCGTCGTCGTCGTCGTCGTCGTCGTCGTCGTCGTCGTCCGTCGTCCGTCGTCGTCGGACGTCGTACGTCACACGTCGTAACTCGTCGTCGTCGTCTTTCTTCAGCGGAGGGCGAGTCGAGCACGACTCGGGACGAAAAGGTGGATCCCTGTTAGTGGGCCCAGGAGTCGCACGTTGTTTTGATATGGTTTTATCGAGTGGAACGCTCTTTCATCTTTATAAACTTTGATGTGTGTTGCCATTTCTCTGTTCGCCGCGATCCCCTTATAATATGCTTCTCACGTATCTCGTGTTCTCCCTCTATTTATCTCTCTTTGTCTCTCCCTGTCGATCTCCTGCACCAGGTCAATGCATGCCGATGCGATACCAATCCATTGCCAACCAACGCCAATGCCAATGCAATGTGAATGTGGAAATCCTTTCGCTCGGTGGATTTGATAAGAATCCTTTGTGGACAGTGTCGTTACGAATCCTTCTTCGGAGGAT